AAAAGAGGCACCTATCCTGCTTCTCCACCCCAGAGCTACCATGGCGGGGGAGGGGGTGCCCCCTCGGCCTATGTGGAGCTGGGGGGAGTCTTCTCTCCTTACAAGTAGCCCCGGAGTACCCTCCTTTAACCCCTCTCCTCAACCCAGCCCCACCCCAGAAGCTGCACCTCCAGCCAGAGCCCCCATGCCGTTGTGCCCCAACCCTCTGCCTCCTGCCTGAGCCTCATCCCGCATTCAGAGCCCTTTGGCTCCACCCCTGTCAAATACATTATGTGCACCAATATGAAGGGGATGTGTCACACGTTGCCTCCATATTGGTGCACATAACACAATTGGTTCTGCCTGGGGTGGGAAAAATTAGAAGGAGCATTGGATATGACACCATGGTTGGCTGAGCAAAGTAGGCCATTTGGCTCTGGAAGAGACATATGGAGTGTAATGGTGATGAAATGCATAGGGGTCTATGGAAATTATTGTAATAACCTGTAGACTTTAAAGGGAAGAAGTGCTTTTCCATTAAACTGGTATCCAGCAGAGGATAAGATTGGTTTAGAAATGCTGCTGTGAGGTTTGCATCATGTTTAATTCCTGAGACTTCTCTAGAAGTGGCCTTTGCCTGAGGCTGTGTGAACGTAACCATCTACTCTACGATTTAACTCGCTAACTGCCACCCCGTTGGGCTGTGTCACTGATACGACAGGTTTCGGTTTTATGTTTTCCCCAACGGCTGCTTCACTTTTGCTGAGGAGTTCTTAAAGCATCTTACTGTGTGTCTCAAAGTTCACGTGCAGAATTTGTGCACATCATTTCCATGACTGCATTTGCAGTTGACCAGCTGAGTGGATGCCACAAAACATTCTCTACGTGTGTGCAGGGTTGTGGTAACTGTGTGTTCGGGTTGTGTGCGTGGATTTCTGAAAACAGATCTTTTGCCAGAATCTTTACAGAGCTGTTTGGTGGCATGACCAGAGGCAGGTGTTCACAATCCCTGTAATACAGCTTGAAAACGTGGACCCTACATGTTCTCGTGTCAGAAGGAAAATACAACAAGTTCACTATGTATTTTTTAAAAGAAAAAAAAATTGGAGGCCTGACTCATGATTTTTGAATGCTTGGGACTAGCAATGCATGTTTGCCTTTAATAAAGAAGAAGCCATGCAAAGGGCAGCAAAGTTCCCTCTGTGACCTTCATCACTGGGAGAGAGGCTGATGTGAGCAGCTACCTTTGCTTATCACATAGGCCTGGTCAATACTAGACCTGGAAAGTCGGCTTGAGGTAAATAATGTAGCTGGAGTTGACATACCTTAAGCTGAGCTTGGCACCATCTCCGCAACTGGAGGCTGATGTGAGCAAACGCTCCCATTGGCTTCTTGTACTCCTTGGTAATCGAGGAGTATTGGTGCTGACTGGGAGCATCCTCCGCGTTTGATTTAGCAGGTCCTTACTAGACCTGTTAAATCAAATGCTGGAAGATCAATCTCAGGCGTCTAGACATGGCCTTAGCCTCCAGCTGTCCAGCTCTCCAAAGTGCTGCAGTCTGCTGACCAGGCTGTGCTGCTGTCTCTTCCCTGGGGAGTGCACCCCAGCATGCCCCGAAAGGATTCTCTCTCCAAAGTGATGGGACAGACCAGCTGTATTCTTCAGTCCCTGGGTGGGCCAGCTCCGGCTGACAATGCAAAGGCTGGGGTGTTTCCATGTGCAGTGCAGGGCACACAATAAAACATTGTTGGGCTCACAATGCCTGACGGATGTTTCTGGCCAGTTTGGAATAAGGGAGCATTTGCCCCAACCCAGGAAATGTTGACATCTTTCTGCAGAATAATTACTCATGAGAGAGAGTCCCATTCTCCGAGCAGGAAAGGTCTGGCACTAGTGACGGAGCCAAGCACCAGCAGCTCAGCCCTGCCTGGAGCTTGCAAGGGAACCCTGGTGATGGGAGATTGTGGCTAGTCTCAGAGCCTGGGATCCCATTAGTCATGAAAGTGTCTTCTGAAAGGTTAGTTTGTAAAAGTTATAAACAACTACTTCAAGTAGAGGCTCAGAAAGGGGAGCTTGGCAGCTTTAATTATAAGCATCCCTCCGTGCTCCACCTATAATTGCCGATGATATTTGGAAATGATCACATCTGGTCACTGCCAAGAGAGCAAAATACTAGAAAAACTGCCCATGAATGCATATACTGAGAGCAACGTGCGGAAGAGGAACACTCGTTTCAGCAAACTGAGCATAAGCGTGCCTAGTTGTTGCTACGTTTTTTGCAAATTTTGGCCAGTGGCTTCCTTTTTTTCGGAGAATGAGGCAGATTGTGAATGTTAATGTGTTTCTCCGCATAGTGCATTAGTCAGCAGCATAACAAAGTGTTTCACTTTCTCTAACACTGTGTAAGGCATTCATGCAGAAGTGGCTAAGCAGAGGACGACACAAGTTATGAAGTCAGAACGAATAATGCACAAGGCTTATGTTACCGAATGTTTGTAGCACAGTTGCACATACATGCCTCAGTGAGGATTCTGGGTGAAGGCACATGAAGATGCAGTGTCTTCTGCAAAGAGCTTCTTCTGCAGGAGTCCCCAAATTCTTGGGTGTGGCCCCCCTCTGCCAAGGGAGGGCTCAGAGGAATGATTGGGGAGGGCTGACTGGGGCCCAGACCCACCCCCACTGGGGACAGAAAGGGGGACT